GCAGCGAAAATGTCATTTTAGTATGCTTCATTTGTGAGAAAAATAAAACAAAACAGTTCTACCTTTAAAGTCTGAGGATGCTGCCATTGTTGTTGTATACTATACAGCCTCTTTACTTTGTCGTTGACTGTTCAATTTCTATGAATCTCTGTGTCAGTAGAAGCCTGCATAGGAATGTGAATTTAATACATTGCAATTAATGGAACAAAACTATCATCATCAGCTGACTACCATCTGCCATAATACTGTAAATTGTAGAACATTTGCTTCTTATCAGGTAATCATTTAAACTCCCTGGATGAGAAACACAAATATATTGCATGTATAAACCTGAATCCCCAACAGAAAAGACCGGGCAACGTTGAAATAATTCATAATAATTTTTACTCTACACTTTTTTTTTTTTTACAAATGTCTACCAAGACGTAAGGCCTACCTATTTAGTTAGGTTAATTATAAGACAATTATGACTGACTTTATAATAAACCAATTATTGTAGTTATTTTGGACATTATAGACCAATCCATTTACAGTGATTATTCTCCCTGCAGATGCCATAGTCGGGGCTTTTAGAGGGGGATTCTTACACGTCATCTTTTACAAATGTGGAATTTTTGTACGTACATTATGCTGTTTCCATCGTAATTTACTCTTAATAGGCCAACTTCGGACCACTGTTTAATGGACATGATAACAAGACATGACAACCACAAGGAATCCAATGAGGTACCCAGCAATTGTGGTGCCAATAGAGAACTTTTTTTGCCTACAAGGCCAAGTTATTATTTCCATGAAGAAATTGTTCAGGAATTGATGGCACATTCATCTTCTTTTTTATACATTGTCTTTAGAATAATAATATTGTAGTTACATATACTGTAATATAGACCTGCAGATCAATGTATTCCAGATTTTTTTTTATCAAATACTTCCTTCATTTAATTTTAACACTTACAAATTTCCTGAATATGATAATAATTTATGATATGATAATAAGTACGGTAAACCAGTTAAGTAATTCTCAAGAAAATGTAACAGTTTATTTACTGCAAGTTTAATCTACATAATGACAAAATGCAACTTCATTTTAATAGCAGGATGTATTTTCTGCGAAGCAGCCAATTCATATTCTTGACAGCAATTTGACCTCTGAAAGGTCATTGTTTGTCATAAAATAAGGGCCTAAGACGACTGAAAAGCGGAGTTTCCTTCTTTCGGGTAAAATCAATTAATTTAGGCGACGTTTGTAGACTAACCAACGTCCGCATGTCGCGCTAGCCTAGGCCTAGACTAGCTAGGATGGTATAGGCCTAGCCTTGAAGGGACGAAAGTCCCAATGAAAAACAACGTCGCTCCTTGATAGCTAACATTGCTATTTAACACCACAATAATTCATTATTAGACCTACAGTTGTTTTTTGAATTGTACTCCTCAAATCTCAGCCGATACCTCGCACAACTCGTTAACGTCTCGTTTCTATTGTCGTGACGTCATGGCTCGCGGCTAACACTTGTGATGTCTTGCACTTGTGATCAAATAACATGCTGGTTCGCACTTTGGCAACACTCTTTGGCAGTCAACTCGCCACTAGAAAACCCGCCCTTGGAAACTTGCCCCATAAAAAAATGTACACTTCCTAGACCATGCAGTCTTCAAAATAAAAAGTGTAACCTTTGGTAATCAAGTACATTTTCCACATACATAGAAATTTTTGAAACTTTATTAAAAAAAACCTAAACCATAATTCACCACTATAGACACTTTTTGACAAAAATGAAAAATTACGACTTTGTTACCCAATGAGAAGTGTTCTAATATAGACAATGGGTCGTGTCTCATATTATTTGTTATATTTTTATTATTCATTATTTTCACTTGACTCGCATAAATAATTTTGTTCGAAGAACATTTATATGCAGTTGTACTTCGCAGCACTTCACTTGCAATTTGCAATTTCTAGTTTATTATATTATCACTATGGTATTATGAAACACACCTTTGTTATTTAAAGGTAGTACTGTATGAGCATTCAACCTTTCTATGCATGAGTTTCAGACAACAGAAAGGGGTATAAAGGACCTATTTTTGTGGTTATTTTATTCTATACTTTTTAGTTTCCTTATGCAGTTTATCAGTTGAGAATATTCTGTTATCTTAAATTAGGCATAAACATGGTTGTTTGCCCTTTCTTGTGAACTTGAAGGGGTCACTGACAATGCTATTTTAATACAAATTTCACAATGCTGTAGTTTAATGTGTCTTAAAATATTTAATCCTGTTGTGTATCATGCTCTGTTTTCCTTCCAATACTGTACACACAGAGAAAGCAGTAAAAATAAAAACATTGCCAGTTCCTTGTATCTCTTTAAGCTTTGTCTACACTATCAAATTTTATGTGACAAAAAAATGTGGTGTGCCCATATATGGGTATGATGATGTCATGTCACATATCATCAATTTTATCAAACAAAGTTGAACGTGTTTAACTCTACGTTCCATCAAATTTTATGTGACGCTTTTTTTTATGAAATTTGATTGTGTATAACTTCTAAAATAAAAATAAATTTAAAATGGTTAAAACACAAAAATATAGAAATGCTCAAAAATTCTGATAAAACATTATTTTAAAATAAAAATAATTTAATTATTTAGAACCTAACTTAAATCAGTTGAATATTCGAAAGGTGTTTATCTAGAGAATTGGTTATATGTGTCTTTATTTGTATCTTCACGTACAAACACCAAAATGCTGGTTGTCACGTACGTCGGTCAGGTTGAGGTGTGTGTAACAACTAAATATTGTAGTGAGCTTTGGTCATTAATTTATGTATATTAATGGAGTCCAAGGCAGCTTTAATTGATTTTATATTTGGTGACATGCGAATATCCTCACTTTAATGCTCAATAAGCAGTTTCATTCCGGAATTGACTGTGGGTATAATGAGTGATGGTAGCAGTCTTTATTTGTTATTAATTAAACTTAATTTGTTATTTGATAAAATTATGAATTTTGGAAGAAATGACTTTCTTAGTTGATCTAGTGTTTGTAGCACTGTTGTTATTAGGCACTGTTATAAATCTTAGCACTTTTTGTCATCATGCTATTGAAGGCTTTGAAGAATCTGTTTCATTAGCATGTTCATAGCAGGGAATAAATAGTTTAAAATAACTGTAACAGTAGAAGCCTATAGAGAAATGTGAATTGAAACATACTGTGCAATTAACGGAACAGAACTATCATCATTCTACCATCTGCCATAATACTGTGATTGTAAAAAAATTGCATTCTATCAGGTAGCCATTTAGGGGTCATTCACAATTATCAACATTTTCACAAGTTTACAAACAGTACTCTTTTTTGGTACCCTCTCCGTTCCCTCTGAAAGTGTATATAAACTATGTTGATTTTCCACAACCATTTTCTCCATTTATTGTGAAGTCAACTAAAAGTCATCCATGATTGCGTTATAGTCAATCAAAAAAATAATATTTTAAATATTGCACGTTATTGTGAATTCAGCATTTTCATGCATATGTTAAAGTGTACATATTTGTCTACATATACCCCCTCCCACCTAGTGTACTCTTTATACCTTGTGAAAATATTGATAATTATGAACAATCCCCTTACACTCCCTGGACGAGAAACACAGATAAATTGCATGTACCCTGAACCCAAAACAGAAAAGACAAGGCAATGCTGAAATAATTCATCCATTTTTACTTTACATTTTTATTTTTTTTAATACGAATGTCTACCAATACGTGGTTAAGTATGTACATAAGACAAAGTGACTGATTTTATAAAGCAATTATTGTAGTTATTTATATAGTCTAATCCATTTACAGTGATTATTCTCCCTGCAGATGCCATAGCTGGGCTTTTAGAGGGGATTCATACACATCATCTTCTACAAATGTAAATGTTGGAATTATTGTACACATATAATATGCTGTTTCAACCATAATTTCCTGTTAATAATTTGGACCACTGTTAAGTGCACATGGCAATCAGTTTAGCTGACTGAGCTAGCTGCTCTCTTATACATTGTTTAGTAGTTACATATACTGTACTGTAATATAGACCTGCAAATGGATGGATTGCAGAATTTTATATCAGATATTTCCTTCTTTTAATGTTAACACTTACCATTAGCTTTCCTGAATATAATAATTTAGAAGTACGGTAAACCAGTTAAGTAATTCTCAACAAAATTTAAAATAAGTTTACTGTATTTACTGCAAGTCTAATCTAGATAGTGACAACTCTAAAAATGGAACTTTACTTTAGCAGGCTGTAGTTTATTGTATGAAACACACCTTTTTGTGTTTTTCATACAATTCAAGGGTAGTACAATTTTTGTTATTCAAAGGTAGTAGAATGTGCATTCCAACATTTTATATACATGAGTTGCAGACAATAGAAAGTGGTATAAAGGACCTATTTTAATCTATATCATTTTCTTATGTATTGTAGTTTATTGGTTGAGAATATTCTGCTATCTTCAATCAGGCTTTAAAAATGGTTGTTTGCCCTTTATTGTAGACTATGGTGTGACTTACAATGTAATTTCAATGCTGTAGTTTAATATCTTAACATATTTATAATAATTTTGTGTTTGTTCTCTGTTTTCTTTCCTTTACACACTGGAAAGGAGTAGAAATAAAAACATCACAATTTCCTTGTGTGTTGATTGGTCAAACACTTTTAGTACTTGTGCATATAAGCTTGCAAATATGGATAATATTTCATTCCTGATGATGAAATAATTAATGTCGAAATAGTGAATCCTGACACGATGGCGTGCATTTCGATACTTGGAGTATGTATTATACTATCTTATCTGAGATTAATCAGTGGACCTTTCGATTTCCTTGTGTCACTTTAGCAAAAGGCATGTATTATATTTTGAGAATCAAAACATTTTTATGTAAAACTCACATTAATCCATTTACAGTTATTGTTCTCCCTACTGATGCCATAGGTGGGCTCCTAGAGGGGATTCATACACATCATCTTCTACAAATGTAAATGTTGGAATTATTGTACATACAATATGCTGTTTCAATTATAATTTACTCTTAATAATTTGGACCACTGTACGTGCACATGGCAATCAGTTTAGCCGACTGAGCTCCTGCTCTCGCTATTGTCTTAGTAGTTACATATACAGTACTGCAGGCC